TTTTTGTTTCTTAAGTTTAGGGTATCATCAGTGCTTAGAGATATGTTGATAACAGCTAAAACTTACCAATAATGTTATATGTGGTTATGAAAATAAAGTTATTTTTCCTTTAAAACAACTTAAAATTAAAAAAAATTCCAGGGTGATTTAGGGAAGTACATTCCTCAGAAAAGTAGTGACAGTTTATTGTCTTATGTAATTTAGAAATAGTCTGGGCCTTGATGGTGAATCATAAGATATTATCAGGTGAGTTAAAGTATTTAGAAACTGTCCAGGGTTTCCAAATCTCTTATCTTATAGAACTAGTTCTTTCACTTGAGTTTTCATTCAAAAGTTGAATGGAAACTTTGCCATATGGATATCTTAAAATCTTGAGGGAAGATGTGAATCTGGTTCTTTACCAAATCTTTTCTTCATCTCAGTTATTTTAGGTAATAACTAGAAATTAACTTACCCATTTAAACTGTGTAAGTAAGGTTTGAATATATTTCATTCTTACCAACTTTGAAATCTGTATAGAAAATTTTGTTTTGCTTTCCACAATGTTAGGAAGAATAAAATATTTTGTTAATTATGAAAGCCCAAGATATTCTGAAGTTGGGGTCAAACGATTTGACTGGAGAAAATTCCTCTTGGAGAGTTCTGAGAGGAGGCCAGAGGGGAAGGTTAGAGCCTTGGTTGTTACCTAGCTAAGGACTATGGACTTGGTGTCCTCTAAGCAACTGGGAGGACCTGGTGGGGGAGCACTGAGGTTTTTTTGAGTGAAGCGCATTGTACCAAAGTACATGTTTTGGAAAAATCAATCCAGTGTGCTCTGTAAGGGTGAACTAAAGGAGTAGAGAGAGCTGGGATTGCAGAGAGATGTCTTAGGCTATTTGGTAAATCAAGTTTGGTGGATTTGGGTCAATGGGAAAATGTTCTCAATATCAAAGTTGAATTTTTATGGAAACAAGAAATTTAGAGTTTTTTGTTTGTTTGGATTTATTTAATTGGGAAGAAGGTCTCTGTTCTGGCTTAAACATTGTTTTTAGATATGTCAGTTTTTTATAACAATGTGGCTTATCTAGTTCTGTGGTAGTCACATGGGTGAAAATGTATTTTTCTGCTAAGTATTGCTGCTTATATTTAAAATCTATCTAATTTGTTTCCTTAAACATTTCCATGTATTGTTACATTTTCTATATACTCTGAACATATTTGTTTTTAACAAATGATGGTTTTATTTGGTTTTCTAGTAATTTTCTATCAAAGTGTGTTTTTTGTTTTTGTTTTTGTTTTTTTTTTAGGTCATGGCAGTTGAACCTGAACAGGTTGTCTTTGGCATTGAACATTGAGTGTTTGGTTATTAAGTATCATATAACAGTGGAGCGTCGTCTATAAAATAGAGTAAAATTTCTGTTGGGCTACTGGTGTAGAGTAATTGCCCGTTTGTTAAAGCAGCCTTCTGTTGGAGAAATCTTTTTTTTTCTTGGCTCAATTGTTACGCTGTGTACCTTAGATTATTCCTTAGTGAGGATTTACTATATATATTAACTGATTTGCTAGCAGTTAGCTTTTTTATTTCCATACAAAAATAATGATTTTTTTTTTCTCCACTGCCTTTTAGCAATTGAAAATTTCCAGGAAACCTCACTTGTAGTTTCTAGATTTAAATTTTGTATTGGATAACTGTTTAGGTACTCTGGTTTGGGAAGATATATTTCATTTTGTGTTAGAAGTAACTTAGTTGTATATAGCTTAAAACTTTTATAGAAACTTTAAAGTAAATGAAATGAAATTTGAAATGGGCTATTGAGATGCTTTTCTCAAGACTTCAAATTAATAGATTTCTCAATAGAGATATCAGAAGTATGTTTTAAAAAAAANATTTGTTTCTGGTATTCTTTTGCTGTTTTCCCATGGAATAGTAGTTAGAAGAACATGCTTGGCATTAGACAGACTTGTCATTCTAGTTAGCTATATTTTTGCCTAACTGGGGGTTATTTTAATTTTTGTAGAAACTTCTAGTATGTGAACATGATTTTATACACACACACACACACACACACACACACACACACACACACACACATACGCATACACATATATATTTCAGCTTCAGGGTTTTAGAGAGCCCCAGAATCATTGATCTAAACCTCAGTGATATGATTTAAAAGTTACACATTGGGCTAAATCTGAACTGACACAAGATTGTTTCAGGAGAGATTTTTAGTAGCTACCTATTAACAAGCTGACTTGTTCCTTGTTATTTGCTTATTTCCCTTAAAATTTGAAGTTAGCAATTCACACTCACTGATGGTTCCAAATTGAGTCCCTGCTTTTAGAGGTTCACTGTATTTAGCTTTCCCTGGTATAATCTCCATATAGGTAGAGTACAGAGAGATGGATGAAAGCTTGGCCAACCTCTCGGAAGATGAGTATTATTCAGAAGAAGAGAGAAATGCCAAAGCTGAGAAGGAAAAGAAGCTTCCCCCACCACCCCCACAAGCCCCTCCTGAGGAAGAAAATGAAAGTGAACCTGAAGAGCCATCTGGTAAGTTGTAGTAACCAGCCAGCTTTATTCTATCTTAGAAATGAGAATAAATGGATTGATTCCTATTCTATAATGTTATTTATGTCTTTATCTTTGGTTTATACTCTGGTATTGGTCATGTGTGTCTTAGTGTGTATATGTATGCATGTACGTGTGTGT